CTACCGCTTATAACTTTTGGTACAACTGGCCTGAAACTTAAAATAATGATTCAATAAGTTTAATATCAATATATTTATTGAAAAATAGCTATTATGTCAAAATAAGAAAACTTAAGATTCTCACGCGAATAGGCAATGTTTTTATGAGCGACTGTTCATCGTTAGTTGCAAACGACGGTAATATAAACAAGGTCAAGGTTTTATCGAAAGCGATTGACTGTTAGATTTCCTTTTATACTATTTTATAACTAAATAATGTTATTTCCCACAAATTTAGCTTTATTGTAGCTTTATCGAAAGTATAAAAAAAACATGAAAACGGCGAATTACTATAGATTGAAAATAATTATTAAACTATGATTGAAATTATCGACGTAGAATACTATTTCGTTGTATTAAATTTCAATAGTATAATGAGAATTTTGTTTGATATTTTAATATATTTCATGTTATTTACAAAATGTACTGTAGTTTTGAAGTTTTGCACACAATATAGTATATATTGAGCATATATAAAAATTGAGTATTTTGATAGCGTAGCCAGGCTTCACGATATAAATATTAGTAAAAACGACTGATAAATAATCATTCATTTTATGATTAATATTTTATTGCGAGCACAACTGCTCCAGAATCACAACAAATAACAGAATATAAGGAAAATTAAAACCAGCAAAGCTTTATCTTCCTTGATCTATTTTTAAAGGCGCTCAATTATGTAAATTTTCCGCGAACACTCAAACATTTTTCTTTGCCTTTCCTCGAGCATGAGTGATGAAATGCTCGTCGGAAAAACTCGGTATTTGTCGTATTTTACGAATTTGCCACGTGACCGGTACGCTCACCAATGAAAGTTGCATGCCATATATGGCATGCAACAAAAAATTAGTTAGGCCAGCAATTTGGCCCGTGGCCCGCAATTGTTTTAACCCGCAGCCCGCAAAAACTGACCCGCAGCCCGCAAAAACTGACCCGCAGCCCGCGGCCCGCAAAATAGCTAGACCCACGCCAATTACAGCAGCCTTTACGCCAATTACAGCAGCCATTATAAATATAATATTTGTATTTATAGTATTATACTACAGTTTATACTAACTGTTTAGAGACCGTCGACAAATAGATTTCGTCCCGCATCGCGGACTTGGGCCGCGATGGGGGGGGAGGGGGTAGATTCGAATCCGCGATTACAAAATATTTGGGACGAAAACTGACTTAAGAAATATAATACGAAGATCAGAAGAAAATGTAGTACATTTTAAATAATATACTCACAAAAAGTTCGGAGGCAAAAAGCGGACACAGCTCAACAACAATACTTCGTTTGATATTTACATTTCGAAGTACATAACCTATGCCCGAACCCATTACGGTTAATTCCGATTTGATATGTATTGCCGCTGGAATAACTGATCGCGGCCGAATATTTTGTGTTGACTTTTCTGACTAAGTTCGCAGTTCGACACACCCCTTCTTTCGTTCAATCGGGGATATAAATATTGCATTTGTGGACAACAAATCGGGTATTTATTTAAATTTTATGTTGCTTACAACTGCTAAACAATACGGAAACTAGTTTTTATTTATTACAAGCTGATTGTAATGTTAAAAGTCAGCATTACATACTGTATTCTTGCCTATAGTAGACCGCTCACAGTCATATTTCGGATAATATTTTGGACCATAATTACGATTCTCTTTGGGTTTTTTACTTGTCCGCGATGAGGTAGGGGGGGAGGGGGTTCAAACAATCGCGGCCCAAGTCCGCGATGCGGGACGAAATCTATTTGTCGACGGCCCCTTATACTGCAGAACTTCTTTTTTATCGTATAGATAATAGATTTATAGAAACAATTGTGACCAAAGTATCTTGGCAAATACAAAATAATGAGAAACTATCACGTATAAGTATAAACTACACGCGATTATTATTGCGCCTTTGGCTTTGAACAATTATTCGCCAAAGGCGAGGCCGTGATTATCGGGGAATTTGTCAAATTTGACCACAGGCGGCCCAATCTCCGAATGGTCTATATATTTTGAATATTTATACGGAATATTTAACCGTTATAATATTTAATAACGAAATAATTCAAAAAATATTAGCAGTATATGTAAAAAATATATCCATAAAGGACTAACTGGTTAATAGAATGCATTTGTTGTCTTTCTGAGTTTAGTTGATGCGATTGCTTTACGTTTTCGTCGTACTTGAACGGTCGTCAGTACTGGCACTGGCTACATAGGACATAAATAACTACAAGGTTAGCCACTTATCTGATATACCCTCCGACATCGAGTCCAATATCTCGCCTCAAAATCGTTGCAGAGCAATAAATTTCACATCGCCTAATAGTACGAGCGTTCTTCTTTCGAAAGAACTTGGTTTGTTCACCATTGCAGCAATTCTCGTGACACAAGACGAACTTTGTTTGTCCAAATTCCAAAATTCCATTTTCGAAAGAGGCGCTAACCCCACGATCGTTGCCACGAGAGCGGCACAGCAACCTGGCCTCCTCGTTTGAAAACAATCCGCCAGGGGGGGGGGGGAGGATCTGCACTAGAATGAGGGGGCTTTCAAAACAACACGATAAAAAACACGATATAAATAATAAAACATACGGTTGAAGTGTTGAACGAAGTTAAGTTCGATACTTTAAAAAGATTGGTATGATTGTCAAAAGCTAAATGTTATAATAAGTAAATAATGTTCTTGTTCTAAAAAATATGTAAGGAAAAGTTCATATTAAACAAGATATTTCTAATGTTTCTCACGCTTCTAAAAATAGGACTGATTCAAAACTTTTTTATTGTTTATTGTTTCTTGTTTATCGTCGAATACGGATGATAAAGTAATCATTTCTATTTATATCGTGTTTTTTATGTCCTATGTAGCCAGTGCCAGTACTGACGACCGTTCAAGTACGACGACAACGTAAAGCAATCGCATCAACTAAACTCAGAAACACAACAAATGCATTCTATTAACAAGTTAGTCCTTTATGGATATATTTTTTACATATTACTGCTAATATTTTTTGAATTATTTCATTATTAAATATTATAACAGTTAAATATTCCGTATAAATATTCAAAATATATAGACCATTCGGAGATTGGGCCGCCTGTGATTTGACCAATCAACTTGACAACTTGTAGGATTTGTTATATATTTATTCACTTGCGCAAAAATACTAATGACGGTATTGTTCATCTTTGCATAATAGTTTACACCGGTTTAGCGCCTGCCTAAATAGGCTGTGTTTACAATGTATTTTGTCTGTGTCAGTTTTAGCTTTTCATAAATGTATTCAGCCATAGTGAACACGAAAACTCTCATACTGTCATAGTCATCATACTTTATAAAATACGAATGTATGATACATTATTAATTGGTAGTACTGATTACTTTATGATAATCTATAGTATTACTTTATCATATGTATATATTTATCTCTATATTATTGTCTATATATGGCGGGCATTAATCTCTATACTACGATTACGATTCCCACCTGGTTCATCACTTGCAAGTGGTAGTATTAAAACCCATGGTAAACGTGGCAAATAGTTGCTACCTGAAGCACATAGACATAGATTTTTGCCTTCTCACACACAACTGAGTAGGTCGCGTCTTAAAAAGTGTGTAAATTTCCGTTCGAATATTCCTGTCCATCTACTAACACTTATTAATAATAACTGAAGCACTTAGTCTTAGTAACGGAGTAAACAATTACATGCACAATACAGTACTAGTATAAACTATTATGCAAAGATGAACAGTCAATAGACACATAATACAATACTCAATAGGCGCAATAATAATCACTTGTATAGTTGTAATATTTTGTATTTGCCGAGACACTTTTGTCACAATTGTTTCTGACAATTAATCTATTATCTATATGATAAAGAAGAAGTTCTGCAGTATAAACTGTAGGCTACTATGCATACTATAAATACAAATATTATATAAAATTTAAATATTAAATCCCAAAATATTGGATAATCCTGCTATCCTACAGGCTATATCCGTATGAAATTGCATTGCTGGTATACCTATATAACTGATACTGAGTATTTTTTACCTTGTATATATTATATCATGCATGTGCATGCAGTGTAGCCAGTAGCACGCTTTTCAGCAGCAAATTTTCGTTCTCTGTTTAGATTTTAAAATAATTAAACGAAAATCTAAAAAATAATGTAATTTCAAAATCGAAAGGCCAAAGTCCATAGTCCAAAGTCCAGTCCAAAGTCCAGTCCAGTGTTTACAATATGCCAAAATTCTCATTGGTCGAAATCGATACGCCTGTCAATCAAATCTGATATGTAGTAATTATGCTATCAACTAGAAATACATGTATGCAGTAACCCCTCGCCAATATTTCCATACATTAAACATGAAGTATTCAGAAATGACCAGCACTGAACGCAGGCTCGCGCTCAAGTGTTGCCATGACAACACGATATTCTTAAATAGTTAAATTTTTATTTTCATATATTTTGTACAAAACTGCAAAATAGTTGAAAGATTCGTACTTTTAACTATACAACAATAAATTTCCGAAATACATACTGTAGGTATATTATTTTGCATTTTGCAGACCTGCCAACCCTTGAGTAGTCTCCTACGCAACCTGTTCGCGGGTCCGAGGTTTTCTCCCCACGTACAGGCTGCTTACTGCAGCAACACATTCCATTCCGATTGTTTAGCCAATCACAGCCTGAGTACCAAAATCAGGAACTCATTCGCGCTTAAATTTAATAATTCCGAAACAAAGATGGCGTCGTATGATCAAGCATTGTGTGAAGTCGCCCATTATTTCGTATTTCTACTTTCAACGATCAGAAGAATGCGATTCGAACAATAATTAAAGAAAATGAGATGTGTTTGTCAACCCGCCTACTATATACAGGCTTCGGTAAATCGATTTGCCTCTCATGTGGTGTAGTCGCCTGTTCCACGAATAATGCCAGAGCGGTAGTTTATGGAATACCAGAGGCATTGCTCTTTATAAATCATTGACTATTTAACTGCCTTATTTATGTTTCGGTACCACCAGCTTAATAATTTACCAGATTTATTTAAAAATTATTTTGTGACAAACAACAAAATTCATGAACATATTCATAACACGAGAAATGCTTCAAAACTTCACGAATGTTATAAAAGGACAAATTATATTAATTATGTGAAACACAGTCTCTCATATAAAGGAGTTGATGTATGGAATTCGTTAGAAACAAAATTTAATGAAATAAACTCATATAACTTCAAAAAAGCAAATTAAACAACACTTTGCTATACACAATTGACAATTTATACTATAAGACAAAACATACTTCTGCATTAAAATATATGTAATACTTTAGTAATATATAGCACTTTAGTTTAGTATTTTGTTGGTCATTGTTGCCGAGTCATTGTAAAAATTTAAATGCATCCCCAACATTAGTATTAATTTATATAATACGAACATTGCCCTTCTTTTTCCCTGTTGTAAATACAGACGTATATATTCTTCAAAACGTCTCATTTTACATATTGCATGTAGGCTATTGACTTACTGTAAATAATTGACTATTTAATTATCACAAATGAACAGTAACTAGGGGCCTAAATAAAAATAGGCACGCTAGGCGTGCATGTATCTGCGCAAAATGTTGACTGTATCCAGCCACCATGCAGCTGTTATGCAGTCGCCATGTTCCCTAGCCAGTGCGCTAATGAGAGGCGTCCCCCCCCTCCCCCCTTTGAACGCCTGACATTTTTTTTTTCTGGAGGAAGACTATCTCTCCTCACTGCACTGGCTAGGGACATGGCGGCAGTTGAGACAACATTAAAGGTTCGGACAAGGAATCGGATTTTGATTTGTATATGTACCCTGTGGCATCATGTTCGATTCCTCTGCCTGTGTCTCCTGCCTACACCTTTTAAAAAATTAGTTTTTAAGACAGAGCTCATAAAAAAGGATAAATTGAACAAAAATAATGAATTTGAACTCATGAATGACGTACCCCCAGCTAAATCTTGAAAAGAAGTAGGCCTACCCCTCCTAAAAGAATGCTACGAGCTGTAGTAGTTAAAACAGTTAATAATTGCAGAGTATTATTAATCATATACGCAATGACTATAAGTTATGGGTAAATTTCATCAGTGGTAAATTTACAACTGACAATCCATACAATTTCCATTAGTTGCAATAATTATGTCTGGCAAATGTGATGGACTATTGCTGTTTTGGCAAATATAATAAGGGATAGCAATTTATAAATTATCTAGGATATGAACTTTTATAATTAAATTATTTATTTTGTGCATGTGAATGTGTTTATGCGAAAGCAGGCCTTCCATTGCGGATTTCGAACTAGCGTTTCAGTGCTTTAATTTCCGGTAATTGTTTTTCCGTTGAAACATTTTACTAAGGGCTAAGGTCAATGACTCAATGTCAATGTCAATGTTACTAAGTCTAGCTAGTGGTCTTTGCCCGTTGTTTACTTGTTTTCTTGTCCGTTGTTTATCATTTGTAAATGTAACTGTTATTTTCGTGTTTATCTCGTCATTGGCAACATTTTGATATATAATTTATGAAGCTTTGTGAATCATTTCATGTTTTTATTGATATTTTGGAAATTGTAGCGTATTAAAGGCCTCAAAATTATTTACTGCCTGGCCAGCTGGCCTTTTATACGCTACAATTTCAAAAATATCAATAAAAACATGAAATGATCCACAAAGCTTTGTAAATTATATATCAAAATGTTGCCAATGACGTGATAAACACGAATATAACAGTTACATTTACAAATGATAAACAATTAACGGACAAGAAAACAACGGGCAATGACCACTAGCTAGACTTCACTTAGTTACACATGTCTATGACGCTACGGCTATTAGCAATCCGACAAAAATTTACTACGTTTCTGGTATTGAAACTAGATTGTGTTTACACTATAACGGAGTGGTTTGCCGTAGCGTATTAACTACGGACCACAACATTATTCACTCTGGCTGCAAATCACTACGCTACGGTATTAAAATTGCCGTAGCGTCATAGTGTAACCGCGAGTCTGTCCGCGACCTTGGCTTAGTATCAGTTTTCACATGCGAAATTTATATTTGTATTTGCACGTTTTACTTTGCAACATGACAGTATTTCTTCGGCTACAACGAATATAATCTTTGTGGCCACAATGTTTTATATAAATGTTTCTGATACTAGTGTATTAAAAGTCGTTGTGTGTTTCTGTGAACATGTCGAGTGATGTTTATAGGCTATAGCAGAGTAGTTAAATTAAAAACCTTTGTTTAATGCAGACATTAGCATCAATGATAAAACTTGGCATCACTAAAGTCTAAATGTTTTGCTATAATTTTTTATATTTGCCATGTCCATGATACTGTGGATTTCGATCTAGCGTTTCAGCCGTTTTAATTTACGTATATTCACTCCATCAAAGGCGGCCATTTTGAATTTATTGAATATGATCAATATATCCATCCAGTTACATTTTTTTACGGTTTTGCAAAATATAGAGATCAAAATGACACACGTGATGCTGATCGCTATCGCTGATTCGCTCCGGGCTAACACACGGTCTGCACGATGGCAATGTATCTGCGCTAGCGCAGATACAAAAAGTCTACGAAGATGTCTAGTAGGCATCTGGCCCAAAATCGTATAATAATATATATAAATTTGTAAACAATAACTATTTTGAACGACAAGTTGTCAATTTCAAATTACTGCATGCATTCAAATTAACACGAAATCAAAAATATAAAAATATTTATACATTTGCTAGTTAAAACAATACTCAATAGCAATGTACTTAATAATACACTTACTGTAAATACTACTGCATGATATATAGTTTTAGTTTTCATTTAGGCTTGTACAAAAATATGCTGTAAAGCAAAAGTGCTCGCGGGTTTTATGAGTTCTCAGACTTCTATGCCATGGTTTCAAAAGTGCTCGGGAGTCGGGTTTTATTTTAACGCATAAAACCCGAACACTTTTGAAACCATAGTCATAGAAGTCTGCAAACTCATAAAACCCGCGAGCACTTTTGCTTTACAGATTTTTTGTACAAGCCTAAATGACAACTAAAACTATATATCAGTAGTATTTAAGTGTATTGAGGGTCCTGAAGGGGTAAAATGGGAACTGGGATTGATCTATTTTTAGACTGGGAAAATGGGATTTGGGTTGCTGGGACTGGGATTTGGCCACTGGGAATGGGAAACGAAGTCCTCAAAAATGGGAATGGGATTGAGGTAATGCGAGTCGATTCCCAATTTTTCTACGTTTTAAGTATTTTAAAATACAATTTTGATCTGTTTTTCGTGTCTTTGGTCACGATTTTTGTTGTTAACTATATTATTCACAGCACTACCTGAGAACAGGCATACTCTGGCGCCCGAAATTCTGGGTTTTCTGATGATGCGTGTCTCAGAATGCTGCAAATGCCATTTCCGGGATTCAAATTTAAAAATTTTCCGTGCTTTCGGCACAAAGCTCCCACAATATTTCGTAAAGTGTTCGCCACTTGCACACACGGCAGCTTAAAAGTCTTAAAACTGTTTATTGTACCGATAAATAAAGGGTTTTTTATTGACTGGGATTTCAATAACTCGGACTGGGATTTCTAATAAAAATGCAACTGGGACTGGGATTTTGCCAAAATTTCAGGTGGGAAATGGGATTGGGACCCCCCCCCTTCAGGACCCTCTGTATTATTAAGTACATTATATAACCTCAGTCGAGCGAGATTATTTGAGGATACCCAACACATAGCCGTCATAGGCGGTCGCGCTCATTTCACCATTTCTTTGCTTGAGCAGCACAGAGCCACATAGCTGCTCCAGACTGAATTTCATTAGATCATCCTCCCCAGTTTTTCTTAACACAGTTGAGAGTTTCTTTCTAAAACACAAATCGCTAACTTCCTGGGAAACGATGTCAAGCACTTTCTGTGTAACCACTTTGCGGACGGGTTGCATTTCATAACTGCCGTATATAGTGACTCTCTATAGAGGTCCATACAGTAACGCTTTCCCCAATGTATTGTAGGTATCATTTACAGTTTTACTCACAGTTCTAAGGAGTAGGAACGGAATATAGGACGATAAAAGCTGGGTCCATGAATTATGTCTTACGGTATTAACTTTCAGCCTCAACTAGACAACAGCCGTTTCATAACATACGTTTTTGCAAACAAATAAATCGTTACTGTCAGAATATTGTTCACATCAACATTTAATACTGATACCTTGATCAGATCAGCTATACCAAGGGCACTTCTCCCGTCATATAGAATATAAACAAGTTGATTATTTCAAGCAAGAGTGTAATATATTTTTAACAGCAGTAAACACCGAGATATATTTAGCACTGAACAATTAATTAATTAGTCACTACTGAATTTGGCGGGAAACCTATGTCATGCCGTTTCCTGATTGGTCAAGTTGAAACAATCGGAATGGAATGTGTTGCTGCAGTAAGCAGCCTGTACGTGGGGAGAAAACC